GTAAATATTACAGATTATCACCAATTCATTTTTTTGAAACGAGATAAGGTGGGGCATTAATTACATGTGACGAGAGGGCCTTCTATGGCTGTGACACTCGGAGGGATAAAACGTTTCGTCGACATTCCAGTCGGCTGTACTGCGTGACCAGCTTAAACAGATGACCCCTTAGCGAGGTGTTTTTACAGGGTTTCAAAGAGAATGACATCCGTTGTTGGGGTTTCTGAGTATCTGATACACCATAATAAGATCTCCCCTAGACACCGATAACGTCGGCTATATATTTTGAGGGTTTTCAACCTGAGTGGGTAGGAAAGGTGAGACAAACCTCGGATATTCTTTGTCGCCATGTTGTGTTGTATCGAGCGCAGTGTACTGGTGCTTCAGCCAGGGTTGCCACGCTTGGGCAGCATATTCCGCATGCAGCCTCACGTACATGTCAAACTTCCCGAACGCTCTACGAAGAAGTCCGAAATGCTGGTTTGCTTTCTTGCTTGTCTTTTCAGTCTGCCTCAAACAACCGAGGTCATCTTAAACAAGCACGCCGAGATCGCGCACATGAGAGGCCCGCTATAGTATTTGTGATCCTGGACGCTAGTTGTAAACACTCTGATGCCTATGCTGAGGACTTTGCACTTGATGGCGTTTAGGATGCAGCGTGTTCTTGATGGACCATGTGTACGCTTTGTCCAGGTCATCCTGTAAGGCTGTATGACCCTCCACCTTAGGAACAGCATGCCACATAGTTAGATCGTCGGCAAATGGCAGACAGTTTGAAGATAGCACGCTCGTAAGATCGTTTATGTAAACCAGGAACAACCGGTGCCCGAGTCCTGACGTAAGCCGCAGTGAACTTAGATTGGTTCCACTAGGATGCTGCGAATCCTTACATTCAGGGGACGTTGAACGAGAAAGTCGCCGCGTTCGCACGATCGATGTTCACACGGCCGTAGCCTACTCCATTTGACCAGTGACCCATATCGCACTTGCGTTGTGTTGTAGGTCGTCTGATCACATGTTTTGTGTTGCGCCCGTCCAAACTGTTACTACGGCCTAATGCAGTAGCGTCGTGCATGAGTATTCCTTCTGCTTAGCCGCCTACTACACCGCGAGAGGAGAAATGGCATCAGCGCTACGCAGTGCTGACGCTTCGCTGCCACGCAACCACCACCAGTCGCACGTGGCTACTGCGAAGGTCGCCTCGTTCCTTCGCAGGGTCCGCGTGCGCCTTTGGATTACAAGGCGGCCATGTGATCCTTAAGGCTACGAGCAGGCTTAGGGCGTTCGACGCTGTGATATGGCATTGTCGTTATATGGATCAGAGATCTGGCCAGTTCGTAGTGATGACATTCAATGCTTGACCGTGTTTGATTACCGGTGCTTACGAAACATTGCTCATATCGGGTGGAAATTCCGAGTGAGCAATGCTGAGGTGTGCCAGTTGGTTTTTCACAAGAAATATTTTGGTGCTTTACTGGAATCTGCTAAATCTTGAGCCCCTACTTTGGTTAGGTCATGTCCTCCGTACACCCTTTAACCGGCTTTGGAGTGCATTATGCACAGTGTCTGCGCCAATTTGAGCGAAATCGCTCGGTGGCCAATCATTGACGTGGCATAAGTGGCATGGACAAATTGGGTGAGAAATTTGACCATACTGGTGCGTGTAGCCTTCGTGCATGGGGCCTGGCGATGGTCCACAGAATGGTTGGAGACCCTTTCAGACATGCCGCAGTTGCGCACACAGTGACGCTCCTACACTATGTTACTACACCTAATTGTAAATTTCCATTTTATTTCTCCGTTTTGATTCCATTTTCTTTGTATTCTCCTTGCGTTTATCCTCATTTTCCTATCATTACTTATTGTTCTTCTCGCGGTGTGTGTCATGGCAATTATATTTGTTAGGGTGTGCACCTCCAAACGAACGGATCAGTGAATCCAAAGAGGATCAAAGTCCAACCATTTTCCGGAAATCGAGCAAAGTAATATTTGCATTGGCCAATCAATAGAATGTTCTCCCACGGTCTAATACCATTATTGGTAAGCAAAGGAGAAGAGAGAACAAAGTACGTTCAGGAAGGTCCTTATGAACAAATAAATATCGGTACTCTGTGCTCTGGAATCAACTCGTTTCTGGCGGCCATTACACTGCGTCTACGACCTTGCCTTCTTGTTCGTCCAATTGGGGGCGTGCAGGTTTCAGCGAACAGTCGGAGCGACCTTGGTGACCATAACAGTATCTACTGCAACTCGATGTCTTACTTTTGTTGTTCTGCTGAACTCTACTTAGCTGATAGGTGTTGTCAACTTTATCACTAACTTTGGTATTTGCAGCACTGAGTTCCGTGTATCAGCTTGCACAAGACGATGATAAGACTGGCGCTGCAAGTTGACATCATCTAGTGTCATCAGATCATTTACAAAGCAAATACGTAAATAGATGACTTGAGAGAAGAAAACGATTTTTTTGAACTAGGTCAGCAAAGAAAGCATACAGACACAGTGGAACAGATTATTGAGCTGGGGCAAACGTCATGAACCCTAAGGAAGCTTTGGGGTTAGTGTCATTTGCTTCTGCACACCAAGAGTAGGGCGGCACAGATTAAGGGTCATGGCCTCGATAAACTTCAGCACTCTGGCGTTTGCGTTCCGGTAGACAAACCTTAACGTTGTGTCAGGGTCAACTTGTTGATCTGTATCGAATAGGTGTCTAGCAATGGATTGCAACGAAACCGCAGTAGGAAAAGGAGCTAAAACTGAAGAAGCAAGCCAGACACCTGAGCAGTACATTCACAACCTTTCATCATTTCCGCTAAATAAGATTATTGAAATAATTAGTTCCCGAAGAAACTTTTAGCAGAAAAGTTAACACGAGGGAAATTTTTCCGGAATTGAATCTTGCGGCACTCTTGTGTTAACTTTTCTGCTAAATAAGATTGCCCTTAAAATGCTGTCTTTAGGTTCAAAATCTGTTGACTTGGGTCGGGACACCATCAGTTTGATTTAGAAGTTCAATTTAAAAACCTTTACACACAAATGGCTGAATTGGTACTTACAAGCGCATTGATTGTTGAAAAGGTTAAGGCAACCCTGATTAACTCACGTTACCAGTGTATGACTCATACGACCACAGTCAGGAAGTTGATGACAAGAGAATACTTAGACAAGCTGGAAGTATTGTGGTGTAACAAGATTGTAATCTCGCGACCAGACAAAGGCGATGGTATTGGTATTATGGACAAAATCGAATATCACCATGGTGAGTTCGTGGAAACGTTCAATGTGGAGGACAAAACCTCGGTGGTTGAAAAGCCATATATAAATCGCTCAGACAAATGAAACAAAAAGCTAATTAGTTCACTGGCATTTGCAATAATTCGTCCCGTCGACATAATTATTCCCAAATTATATGGATTACCCAAGATACATAAAGATGGGTCTCTGTTACGACCCATACTAGTTATGTATGACTCCCCGTATCAAAGTGGTTGGCCGAACTACAAGAGCCAACAAGAACGTAGCTGATTTTATATATTTGGCATGACGAATTCGTCGACAGCATTAGAGCACAAAATGTGTATAATGAACAGCAATTTTCGCTCGATCCGACGTTGTTTCCTAATATCCCCGTTAAAAAGACTATCGTTTAGCTTGCCGAATACATCGAGCGCCCAGGTAAACAAATTGGTTCATCGGTGGAAAATCTGTACATGCTGTTTCATCGTTATACTTTCGCTTTACCGGGCAGTTATACCGATAAAAGGACGGGCTAGTTATGGGGTCACTATTGGGTCCCTTGTTCCCTGACGTGTTTATGACCAAACTAGAGAAGAGTACGTTAAGTGAAATGATTGAGCGACTACCACTCTTTAAGCTCTGTGTCGATGACGTGATGCGCATAGGTGACGGCTCGATGGATCTGGTTGAATTATTACGAAATACCAATCGGGCCCACTGGAACACTCAGTTTTGCATGCAGCCAAAGTCAAATGAAGCTCTGGCTTTCTTGGATATTTCATCAATCTTAGACAGTACCAACTCGTTGACTTGAGTTAACACACATCATTATTGCTGCATCCGGTTCCATTCACCATGATGATAGCTGCTCACGTTGTCCAATCTAATGGTAACATCATGTCCTCCTTTCCTCGCACAGCACCTCAGGGTTCGTGTACATTCGAGTGGGACGCCACATAACGTATAACAGCACGTGCTATCGGATCTGAAACTGTGAGATGGCTTCGCAACATCCAACTATAGGAGATGCACACGAGCGAAGGACACGGTGGAAATACTGCAAAAAATGCATGCGCCTGGAAGTCGGAACTACAAGTCAATAGCGTAACGACCATGAGCACGTCAGATGCCGGAACCGTCTTCGTCTTTTTTCTTTAAAGCCACGTTTCCATTAGATGGTTCAATGAGCCTTAACGAGTCGAACTTGGAGTTGGATACTACTGACCTACTATGAACAGTGCCTTATGTTCTGAAAAGCTCTACCTAGTGTGCCTGCTAATCTGGTGCACTGTTGCTACAAAACGTCTAGCCTTCCCTTCAGACACCAACAGGACGCACCTCGCGGCAACTTATTTGAATTTTGATAACGTAAGTGCCGGCCCGTAGCCCTAATGATCACAAGCCTGTTTCGTAATCCAAGGGTGCGGGTTCAAACTTTTGTAGGGGGCCGGGCGACCCTCCAAGTATCCTTAGCCCACGTGCACCGGTGGTACTTTCGCGGCAGCGAAGCTTCGACATTGCGTACCGGCGTACTGCTGATATCTTCTTCTTTATGCGGGCATGTAAGATGTTCGACTTTATGTGAGGTCTATTGGTTCTCAGCTCGCGAACAACTCATCCAACCCAAGGAACGTGGAACAGAAACCAAGTAAAGAGCAAGTCCAGATCTTTTCCTGCGACCGTCAGGAAGACTCATCCCTGACACGTCGCCGTCATTTACCTGGATGATAAAGTGAACCAAACGGACAGAAGAGTCAGGGCTACCGCCGCCTCCGCGCTCACGGCTCTTTTTTCATCTTTTACTTTTGCAAATGTACTTTTCAGCAAACGAGTACTTACACTCTGAACAAAGAGAGAGAGATTAGCAAAGAGGTGTCCAACTTGGGAACGCTTCCAGACTGTATCCTGCACTTGGTCGGGACCTCGGCTGCACCCGAACGTTATCGTGTGCTTGTTTTGCCTTGCTAGGTTAGAACGCCTTATAGACTTGACATCCAGTCTAACTTCCTTACATCTTTCCTCTGTTGTCTGATATCAGCTATCCCAAATTTGTGCCATTGTGGCTTTGAATCACAAGCTCTCAGTTTGCTATTTTTGCGTATTTGAGTTGATTGTTCTGTTCCCCTCATTGATTGCAGCCCGCACAGCTAAGTACATTAGGTCCAGTTACCTTAACTGTCGCTTCCTTAGCTTGACATCTGACATGCATTAGGTAAAATGCCGTGATGATAAACGGAAGAGTACGGGAGAACGTTCGGGTGAAGTGTGATGAGCAAAAGGGGTGATTACTTGATGGAATGATTAACAAGTCCAAACAGTTGGACGTATGCACCAACACCTTTGGCTTCCTGACTGTTTGCTGTCAAACAGCGTCTCTAACCCCTAATGACTTATTAGGGCCGCATTCAGGAAGCCAATGTGACAATTCTCCTGGGCACTTTATTTCTTCTCACATCATAGATTTCCTAGTTTCACTTAGTCGAACATAGTGACTGCAAACAGCACATGTCAAAATGTACGTCTGACTGGCATTTAACGAGCAGTAATTAATAGTGAACTGTTTTCCTGATGACTTCAGTAAGACGTAGTCATATTTTGATTCATAAAATAACGCTTACCACGCCGCGGCGTTGTGCATGCTGCATTTGGTTACTAAGGTAATCTCATAGTCATACGCAAGCCGGATAAGCGTACTGGTATAATTATAATAAATGCAACTGTTTGCACTTCAAAAATGAACCAGATTCTCCAAAACGATACAAAGTTTTCTGTAAAACGGAACGAGAAGAACCAAACGGACAAGGCGGAGCAAAACCTGACAAAGTGCTTAATAGATCTATCTGTCCGCTGGTTAAAATCTGCATCTCTATTTGAAAGTCTCAGGCCAGTCGGAACGGCTATCCCGTGAATGTGTGGGCTCCCAGAATTTCATAAGCTAGGTGTACTTCTGCGTCCATTATTGTCCATGACAATCTCATTGTACCATCCCACATCCTAGTGGTTAGCAAATGTTGGAATCCACAATAGAATGACTTGTTTGGCATATAATGTTCGTGATATTTTTGCGTTCGTACAGCACATTAACGTTGAGAACCTAATGGAAAAGAGCTTCTCACTAGCTATAACTTTCTATTAGCTAATGTGCAGCTACCAGAAACCATAGGATACTTGTGTAATTATATGCTCAAGAACAATATTCACCCAGGTATACCTTTATTAAGCCTGAAAGGATTGCTGTTTAGATGCGCTTGCAATATCCAATTCCTTTTCAACCGCATCTATTACCGGTGTCGCAATGGGGTCCCCACTCGGACCTTTGCTGGCAGATATTATTTTTCACCGAACTAACAAATGAATCATTGAGTCCACGTATAGCTCGTTAAGACTTGTGCCCTCGCCATATGGACGACACCTTTTGCGTGACCAGTAAAGATTCAATTGTGGCAAGTATAGTGGTAGAGTTTAATAATGCGCACCCGTCAGTCAAGTTCACCTACGAGCTGGAACACGAGGGCTAGATCTCATTGTACACTTGATTAAGCGAACGGATGATTCCCTATTGAGGCGGATCAACAGAAAGCAAATGTGGACCGGTCGGTATACAAACTTAGTTTCGTAACACTTAAATGCAAGCGCAACCTAGTACTCGGTTTTACGTCGAGGGCTCGAAAGATCTGTTCTGAAAATGCTCTGGAGGATTAGATGAAATCCATACAGGACGCGCCACGTAAAAATGTCTATCCAGATAGGTTCATACAGCGTAACATTCAGTTCAAAATAACCTCAGACGTTGAGCAATTAGTTGAAAAGCAAGTTCTCTTCATTCGCCTTAGTTTTAATGGTGAAAACAATTGGTGAAAAACTAAACTGACGCAGTCAATAAGGAACACTTCTGCAGCTGCGGAACTTCGATGTATCTTTGCCACCGACCCGCTTATTTCTGTGTTCAACAAAGACGAACTGTCAAAGCTGACCTCCTCTTAGATAATCCATCGATTTGAGTGCACCTGTGGTGCAAAATAGGCATCAGCAGTACGCCGGTACGCAATGTCGACGCTTCACTGCCGTTCAACCACTACCAGTCGCACATGGAGATACTGCGAGGGTTGCCCGGGCCGTACGCAGGGTCGAACTCGCCCTCGGATTACAAAACGGGCCGCATGTATTGGTCGAGCGGTTCGTCACTTGTCACCTCGCATCAAGGAACATAGTCCTAAATGGTTGGCGAACTGAGGCACTGGAGTTTTGGCATGCGGAATTTTGTTCCGCATATTCCAATCAGGTTGCTATATTAACCTTCCGAATGCTTTTACTGGAGTTTGCCAGATCCACGTGAACAAATCTAAATGTTTGCGTCTACGAACGCTCCCCACCACAGAATCTACTGCGATCTAAACATTCCAACCCGCTTTGTGCTCACCGAAGAAGCTTGTCCAGTCGCTGTGTTTACCCCAGCTGAGCAGTAGTCTACTTAATCGCCACTCAGACACCGGTTTCATCAGTGTGACTTACCTAACCCCGATTAATCGGCTTGAGTAAGACAACGATGAACTGTCTGTTCTCTAACCATTGACCTACGTCCGAACCAGTCATCGCGCATTTCTTTGTGTAGTATATGATTTGGACCGGTCCGCAGCTGAATCATTGAAAACAATTGTTTACCTCATACTGGTGTCTCCTAGACAGAAAAATAACGCGAACGTTGGTGATACGGGAAGTAACCTTGTTTGACTGTGTAATCTGAGGTTGACAAGTGGTTATTGCTTCTTTTTACAAGCTCATCTGCTTTCAATCACGTTTACTTATCTCCTCCAGTTGGTTATGGCGGCTGGGACAGTCAAAAATTCTTCACTTTCTGACTGAACCAGTTTGGAGCAACGGTTTGTACACGATTCTTCCCCAATGTCTGGTATCAGACACTTGCATAGTCGTGTAGCTCTTGCTTTGTCAAAGGTCCCATAACCTCACATTCATCTCGTTTGTTCGCTTCTCATTGATCACCACTAGTTATGGGATGATCATGATAAAGCGGCATTTTACTGTGTGTACTCTCGGGTAGTAGTTCTCCGTGCAATTTGATGACTACGATGTCCATGGTCACTAGTTTATTGGCCAAATTTCCACTGTCCAATACCTTCACCTCAATTTTTTCTGCTTTTGATACAGTTGACAATGCCATCGAAAATCACAAAGTGGCTCACTGCCTTCAAACCGTCATCACCTGAAGCTGTCGAGGAACTTATCAGTTGGATGTATACAAACGTCAAGTTACTTGAGGACATCGAGGAAATATTGGACAAACTCTCCTCCTCGTTGATCGGTGACATTTGTCAGCGCTTGCTCGTGTTTTATACCTCGAAATCCCTACCCCTTCAGCGATTCTCCATTTTTCTCTTCCCCTGTCTCATCCACGCTTATTTATCTCACTTCGCCGAAGAGGACACACCCTCTTCAGGAACCAGACGTGCTTCCACTGGCACAACTGATGTCCAGCAGAACACCATTTTACTGAACCTCGCTTCAGTTGAATCTTGCTTGCTTGAGATTGGCCGCCACTTTGCTACCATTCATCCTGAGTCCACCAAACCCGCTTGTCTGAGATCCGACCCTAACTTTCGGGTACCAAGTCTAGCAGAACCATCTGTGTTTCATGACGCCGTTCCCACAGCTGAGTCATACGTAGATGACGCCGGTGTATTTCCCCCGTCCTGTGTACCTGTACCCTCCAATCGCATTCCCGCAGTTGTCATTTTGATTCGCGATTACCTAGATTGCATCTTATCCATTGATTTGGTGGACGCAAGATATGGCCTGCTTGCTCTGCACTCCATGACTCGTTTTTGCAAGCTTTGCGATCGCATTGTTAGTCTATCCAAACGCCCTCGAATCGCTGCATCCACTTCACTTCTCATCGATCTGCTCTTCGGATTGGATGTGGTGCTTTACAAACTGGACGATGTTGATCAGCGTGCAGACAGCATTCGCGAAACCACCTTGGTCATTCGAGGCGCCGTGCTGGCTGCGGTGAAGGGAATTGAGAAACGGTCAGTATATGACTGTGCCTCCGCAGCGTTACTCGTTTGTCGTGCTATTTTGCACAGCCGTTCTGCTCAGTATGGACCTCGTATGGTTCCAGGCTTACAAGTCACCACCGTCTCGTCATCCGCGGCTAATGCACCTGAGGACTCCTCACAGAAGGCAGCAGACGATGAGGAGGAAGAGTACAAAAACCCAGAAGTCACTCGTGCAGTTAGACCGCCTCCTTCCACAGGAGTGGAGGTGATCACCAATGCTTCATTCCGGCCAGAAACCCTTCCCGAGGACATTCCCATAAATGAGCAGCATTCAGCTAGTTCACAGCAAAATACAAGCGCATCCGGCAAATTAGGGATGCGTGGCAAAGAGTCACTGGATCGAAAACCGAACGCTACAGATGGCCGATATCGTAAGGGGAACACCACCGTCAAATTGGTCCCTATCAATCAAAAAGCACCAGCCACAGAATGACAGTCAATCCTTTTTCTCGATTTGTCTTTCACACATTGATCATGTACCCCATCGGCGCTTTCCGGTGTCCAGATTTCCTCGTTGGCGCTATCTTGCTCTCTATTGAAGACACCATACCTATGTATGTATTGTTCATCAGTTTTATCGATTGCTGCCACTTCCGTTGCTCAATTCGTTTTGATTTCATTCCAATTTCACTGCGCTTTACTACATATGAGCGCTTAAATGAAATTTTCGAGGAAGCACCTTATGCCTGGTATGCGATCCGTTTAGTTCATTTTGCGTCCTGTTCTCCTCTTTTTATCATTGTACATAAACGAACGCAGTGCAATTGCTTTTCGCACTTTGTCTGTTTTTAATACAGCCCATTTCTTGCTCTGTGTGTATGATATTTTACCTCATGAGATCGGCTTCACTGAGCTTGTGTGCCTTGTCTGTTCCAGTACAGGTGTCACAATTCGTAGGGAATTTATTTTGTCCTGAAACCGCATTCCCCAGCAATGCACCACAAGTTATGCCGTAATTATTCGCATTTTAACTTTTGAAGATAGAGGTGTTCCTGCTGCCATTAACTACTCCCTGTCCTCTCGTTATTGCTCAATCGACCGATTCACTCTGGAAATCTGTTTTACCTATCTGAGTGAATCTGACACCAGAGTATGATAAGTCCGATTGCTAAGTGGCGCATTGCATAAACACCAATGTCACTCGCTCCTCATATTTATCTTAGTTTGAAATTATCAGGTAGAACTAAACTGATCCGGTACTCAGACCGTGGGAGCCACGTTTTTTCTGGCGCATCCTCTTCCGCTAAGCCACAGACTCTCAAGCATAGCATTTTCCACAACAGTTGGAAACTGGTTTTGGTGCTGCTTGTCATATGCTCAAATTGTGACGTACATTCTCAATTAGAACCACGGTTTATCTCGGTGTAAACTGCGATTATTTCGTTTGAGAATCAGCTTGAATCCGAGTTGAAACTGTGTGCACAATATCACTTCCTTCCAACGCCACACTGCATCTGGTTTCGTGCTAGTTTTTTGCCATATTCGGAGCTGAAACTAAGGTCTGGGACTTATTCATGTTCCCGCAAGCGCTTCTCCACCAAGTGCATGGTATGACACAGGGTATATGAGAACAAGTGTGGCCACGAAAGGGAGATTTCCACTTGATGATTTTGAACAGTTAACAACTGGGCACGAGAAAGCCAGTGCGAAAGCACCATTGACTTCATCCTACCTGGTGCACTTTGCAGCTATTGCTGTGACCAACTCCGAGAGCTTCATCCAGGAAGGCAGCACGTGTCACTTTGACCAAGTCACTCACTTAGAGGTATTGTGAATTCTGAACACTCAATGTGGAAGCAGGTGGAATGTTAAGTCTGTACAAAGTCATCGCAATATAATAAATATGCTATAGAAAATGTTTGCCACCCATGATAATTTAATCGCTCTTCAACTCCTTATGTAGCATTTTAAAAGGTCTGACTTACAATCTCACTGGGTTCACAAATGCAAGTTGTTATTGCTAGTGGGCCATAGTTCTCGGAATCGAATGATAAGGAAATGTAAACCCAAGAACGTTTTGAGCTACAGCACAAATTTGGCCTCCAGGACTTTCTCTGGCATACTGTCCCAAACGTTTACCACTCTGTTCGCAGCACTGGGGTGGGGTAATTGTTCTACATCTGTGGGACTAATTAATACTAGTCCGAGACGGTGCGCGAAATTAAGCGCGGATATCAGAAGGCAGTTAGAGTCAGACACAGCGGACTGTATTCGATGGGCTACAATAAGAAGCGGACGGATGAAGTGAGACGAGAGCGAACACGTGAGCGCGGGAACTTACAAGGTGGTCGAGTGTCGAGCCGGTTGTAAGGACGATTAAAACAAGAAAGAATAATGTACAATCGGTCAACAACTAAACTGTACATGAAAGATAAGAGTTATCTTTTTGGGCGCTACAGAGCTCTCCCCCCTAGAAGGCTGAACATAGAAAGCATTCGATTTCGAAAAGGACTGTTGAATCAAGGTTCGTAAGGCAAAATCGTGCCAAGTAAAAATGAGGGAGCGTTTGTGTAAATGCGGGTTCGCCGGAAGTCGGAGTCCGCTGTGCCGTTTGTGATTTGTTATTTATTGATTGCAGGGCAGGGTGCATTTCGGCGAGCCGTTGGAGCGGGCTTGTCGGACTACAAAAAAACTGGCTAGCCCAGAAAAAGGCCGACAGGACCTCAACCTCCGCTGCTGCCAAACGGTGCGCTTGGGAGTGGTCTATCCCCCAGCCGCACCCCACCCCGCGCCAAAACGACCCTCGTCCCACGAAGAAACGACCATGGTCCCACGGAGAAGCGACCCTCGTCCCGCGAAGAAGCGACACTCGTCCCGCGAAGAAGCGACACTCGTCCCGCGGAGAAACGACCAGCGTTCCCGTCAGGGTCCTCGAAAACATTCCTCATGTGGGCCAGTCGATCGAAGGGGAGGGTTTGGGCATGTAGAGACGAGAAAATAGAAAAACACGCGCAGAAAACGCCAAAAAGAACAAACGAATGATCTGCGTGTTTAAATTTTTTGGTTTTGAATATTTTTTGAAAAAGGTTTTTCGGAGGTTTTTGATATTTTTGTTTGTTTTCAAAACGTTAATCGACCAAAAATGGGGCAAATATATACAATATCTACAAAGCTAAAAATATTTACACTGTACATAGTCGGAGAAACGAACGGGCTTACGCACCTCCCGACCACGGCGATTGGTCGTGGGAGGCGGCGGGCTAGATTCGGGAGATGTTGGGACGGCTTGTAGACCGAGATCGTGGTCTGGTTGAACTGCACTAGGATGCTGTAAGCTGGTGCGGTGAGTTGTGACGTCGCACGAAGCACTACTAGACGAAGTAGGCGAGGGGTTTTCTTCCATAAAGGCGGGTTTTAGACGGTCGATGGTGACGACTTCGTGTCGACCACCGCGGTCAATAGTGTACGCCTTACTCGCACGATGTAGCACCTTGAAAGGTCCTATGTACGGCGACTGAAGAGGCTGTCGAACACCGTCTGCGCGAAGAAGGACGTGTGAACACGTAGACAGCTTCTCGGGCACGTACACTGGTGTCTTCTGCGATCGAGGAGCGGGTGGACGTAGCTCACGCATCTGGTGAGCCAATCGATCAGTGTAACTTCCGTAGTCAAAAGTGGAAGTACATGGGGCTGGTGCTACCAGCTGTCCGGGCAACCGCAGCGTGCAACCGTAGACTAGCTGCGCTGGTGTGGCGTCGAAATCGGTTTTAACCGTGTTTCTTAAGCCTAGGAGAACGAGGGGAAGTGTTTCAGACCATGAAGGATCTGCGTGCGCACGTAGCGCTGCCTTCAACTGGCGGTGAAAACGCTCCACCATGCCGTTAGCGGCCGGATGATACGCCGTCGTCTGAACGTGGCGACAGCCTAAATCCTTAAGCAACGTGGCGAAGGTTGACGAGAAATGTGACCCTCGATCGGTGGTCACGATGGCGGGGCAGCCGTATTGAGCTACCAACGCTCCAGAAAAGCCTTCGATACCGTTTCCGAAGAGCAGTTAGGTATGGGAGTAGCTTCCGGCCACCTAGTGAATCGATCGACACAGTTAAGTAGATACACAGAGCCTTGGGAAGGCGGCAGAAGACCCACGAGGTCCACGTGACGTGATGAAAACGTGCGTCTTTCGTGGGAAACGTGCCTAATGGGCTTCTCGTGTGCCTGTGCACCTTCGCGCGTTGACACGGGAGGCAAGCAGCTGCCCAAGTACAGACGTCCTGATTAACATTGCGCCAAACGAATCGTGCGGTTACGAGTTTAACCGATGCACGAACGCCTGGATGAGACAAGACGTGCAACGTGTCGAACACGGTCTGCCGAAATTCGCGTGGGACGACTGAGCGCGGCGTGCCCAGTGATAAATCGCAAAGTATAGTGCCGTCTGATGATGTCAGCGGAACGGGTCATATGTTCAATGTGGGAGACCTGCGTAGTAGATCAACCTCAGTGTCGAGTTGCGCTGTGGCCATGGCTGCCAAGTCGATAGCAGTGCCGGCGTCAGCGGAGATAGCTTGGATGCGAGAAAGTGCATCGGCGACGGCGTTGTGCACACCTGAGACATGCCGTATATCGGTCGTAAACTGAGCGATATAGTCAAGGTGGCGCGACTCTCTAGGAGAGTATCGGTCGGTAGTCGAGCCGAGCACGTAAGTCAGGGGTTTGTGGTCGGTGAAGACGGCAAAGGAGCGGCCTTCTAGGACGTGTCGAAAGTGACGTATCGCTAGATACACGGCTAGTAGTTCTCTACCGAACGTGCTGTAGCGAGATTCGGTAGGTTGTAGGCGTTTGGAGAAAAACGCTAAGGGCTGCCACGTGTCGGCTACTCGTTGCTGCAAAACAGCGCCGACTGCCACGTCCGAGGCGTCAGTACTGAGGGACAGTGGGGCGGCCGGATTGTGATGCGCTATAGAAGCTATGTTGGCGATAGCCTCTTTCAGCGACTTAAAAGCAGCGCGTGCTGTGGCAGGAAATTCGAATTTCTTGAGTTTCCCTCGGAGAAGGTCCATGAGTGGTTGCATCAGCGAGGCACATTTGGGTATGAACCGTCGGTAAAACTTGACAAGCCCATCAAAACACCTGAGCTGTTTGAAAGAATGAGGCTCGGGGTAGTCGATGATGGCTTGAATTTTATCCTGCAGTGGCACTACGTTTGCAGAGGTGATACGATGGTGGAGGTAGTTTACTGAATCGACACCAAACGAACACTTTTCTGCGATCAAAAAGTGTTCGTACGTGGCGCATATGCCTTTCTCGTGAAGAGCTTGCGATTAAAATGTCATCGCGATACGCGTAAGCGAAGTCTAAGCCGCGACAAACTTGATCGATGAAGCGTTGAAAAGTTTGCGTGGCATTCTTTAGACCAAAAGGCATGCGCAGAAACTCGAAGAAACCAAATGGAGTCGTTACGGCAGTTTTAGCGATGTCCGCTTCGGCTACCGTAATTTGGTTGTATGCACGTACCAAGTCGATTTTGCTGAAGATATTTTTATCTGCCAGACTGGCAGTGACATCCACTATGTGTGGGATCGGGTAGCGATCAGGCGTGGTAACCGCATTCAAGGTTCGATAGTCGCCTCAAGGACGCCAGTCCCCCATGACCTTCTTCGGGACCATGTGCAGTGGCGACGCCCATGGGCTGTTGGACGGTCTGACCATACCGAGCTGAAGCATGTGGTCGAATTCAGCTCGCGCTGCGCGTAGTTTGTCAGGAGCAAACCGTCTTGGTCGTGCGCTAACTGGCTGACCACGCGTGACAATGTGATGAGCGACCTCTGTCGGGACTGGCGGAAGCTCTGCAGCTGGTCGTACCAGTCGCGGGTACTCAGACAGTAGGTTCGCATAACCTAATGGTACATCGGCG